CTTTACAGTGTGCACACGCCCGTCTGCCCTGTGCCCCGCACCTTCCAGTACCCAGATGGCACTGCTAGTCCCCTGCCTGCACTTTACAGTGTGCCAACACCGCCTGTGCGCCATGCATGAGACTGGGTGGTGCCGTGGCCCAGCACGGCTGCCAAGCCGGGTCCCCTTGGTCTGAGTCCTGCCCCACTCTGCCTGCTGTGTGCCCTTGGGCGCGTGCCCCCGCCCCACCTGCCTGTGCCTCAGTTTTCCTTCCTGTAACTGCCCAGAAGGCTCGGGGTAGGACTAAATGAGTTGTAGCCCATGTCAGACTCTCAGACAGCACCTGGTAGGCCTGGGCCTGGGAGGACACTTGCCACTTGTCACACTAGTCTGTCCTGGAGGTTCGGGCTCTTTGGGCTGGCGCAGGTGGGAGCACAGCAGCATCACGCAGCCACGACGCCCTGCCTGCTGTCAGGTGGAGGCTGAGTGACACCGTGTCCCCGTGTCTGATGTTTATTCCAGAAGGGGGAGACTGTGAAGAAGATGCGAGAAGAGGTGAGTGTCCCGCCCTCGGCACAAACCTGCCCTGAGCCCCACCCGGTCCCCGGGGATGGGGGGGAAACGCACGAAGGAGGACAGGGACCTCAGCTCAGGTGTAAGGGTGGGAGCGGGGTGCGCCCCCCTCCTGCACCGTCCCTGTGAACGCTGCATTAAGCGTGGCGACTTTGGTGATGCCAAGTCCCTTTGCTAATTCAGATGTCACTCTAAAGGGTGTTACTGACAAGGATTTTGCTACTAGTGCAGGGTTTGCCAGTCAGGCGCCCAGTGGATTTGTTTGCTCCAGTTGTTGGGGAGCAGCCAGGGAAGCCAGGTCGTGCTTGTATTTCTGTGTGTGTGAACTGGGACATGGGGGTCTGCTGGCTGCCCCCTAGAGTGGTGCAAGAATCAACATCTCGGAGGGAAACTGCCCGGAGAGAATCGTGACCATCACTGGCCCGACAGACGCCATCTTCAAGGCCTTCGCCATGATCGCGTACAAGTTTGAGGAGGTAAGAAGCCCCCTCGCGAAGACAGATGTGGAATCTCCTCCTGGGCAGGGGAGGGAGGGGCCCAGCCCCCCTCCCCGCTGTCTGGACAGTGGGATGCGGGTACAGGTGCACCCCAGGCTCACCCAGAAGCCTGCTATGCCAGAGGGTCTGCTCTCTTAGCTCCTCTTACCTCCTCCTCCCCCCAGGCGTCTTCCCTGGTCTGGTCTACCTGATATCACACCAGTGTCTCTCCCCTCTCCTCCTTGAGCCAGCCACTTCTGACACGCGTCTTGGGGAAGCTTCCCTGAAGGCTCCTCAGACCCTGCCCCCAGAGCACGCAGCTCGGCCTCAACACACCCCACCCTCCACCCAGGGCACACCGCCTCCATTGACCCTCAGCCCGTACTCACACCCCAGCATGCCCCCACCACTGTCATGCAGGCCTCTCTGCTCTCCCACAGCCACTACATAAGCCTGGCTGGCATGTCCCCTGTCCCCAGAACGCCACCTGCCACACACCAGCACTGCAGCCAGTCCCCCCTGGAAAGCTTTGCGTAGCTTGGTTTAGCTGTGGCTAGATAGAGACAAAGGAAGACATAAACGTGTGCGTGGCACTCCTTCGTTCTGTTGTCAGTGAATTAAATCTGAATGTTTTGATGTGTTTCCAGTTTTTTTGAAATTATCAAAAATTATTTAGAGATACATTTAGTGTTTATGAAAAGAAGATCATCAAGCTGGTGATAAATTTTTTTTCAAAAATAAATGGGACAGATTTTGTGGAATAAATGGAGATCACCCACGTGAGAATGAACCAAAAAAAAAAAAACACCAAACTTGTTGCCATCAAGTCGATTCTGTCCCATAGTGATCCTGTAGGACAGACTAGAACTGCCCCATAGCGTCTCCATGGAGCGGCTGGTGGAGTCGAACTGCCAACCTTTTGGTTAGCAGCTGAGCTCTTAACCTCTGCACCACCAGGGCTCCATGTGAGAACAAGGGGGCTGTTTATCCAGCACTGCTACAGCAGTGGTCAGCCCCATCACTGTTGGGCAGACTCAGAGGCAGCAAGGGAGCAGGACAGCTGTAGAGTAGAAAGAGGAGGTTCAGATGTACCCTGATGAAGGTGTTGATGTGGGAGTCTGGGGTCAGCTAACTAGAAGCAGGCATCGTGTGTGATTGGTTGGAGACGAATTTGGCTTCTCCTGTTGGTCCAGCCAGGTTGGGCCACTGCTCTGGACGTTGTGGTTTCACTTCCAGGCTGGTTGCTTTAGGGATGGTGGGTCAGAGTTCACTTGTCAACTATGGTCTGGCCATTGTCTGTATATTCAGTCTCTTAGCCCCTCCTTTTGGTCATTATCTCACTTGCGAGAGATTCAGATCTTCACAGCTCAGAGTGTTCAGTCATCTCCATAGTCACCGTACGTTGAGATCTCCTTGGCCTTTTTGTTGGTTATCATCATGGCCATCTGATGATAGCGTGGCTGCTCAAAAGGATTTAAGACTCTGGATGGAGTGCAATGGACCAGCATCATGACCACCATGACAAAAACAAGAACAATAGTCCTTGCAAGATGCTTTGGAACCAGGAGCCACAATTGAACAACCCATGCCAAGAGAACAAATCCCACAGGCCATGAGGATCAACCTTTAGAGAACCAAGTAGCTTTATCCTTAAAGCAGTATAGAGCCTGCTCCATTTTGCCTGTTTCATTGACCTGTGTACAGCAATAAGTATTACCCATGGCACAGAGACCATCAAGACTAGCCAGCAAGAAATCTAAAGCAATGAGATTGTCTGTAACTACTTGTGCCAATGAGTTGAGACTGATCTGTATCCATCTAGGGCAGGGATGGTATCCTTAATAACTTCTGCCGGCAGTAGTGATAGGTTTCTTAGTCTTTTCTATTGGTACGATTGCTACCAATGAGAACACTGCTCCGACTATTCACATAAATGATGTCTCCGTAATTCCCCCAGGTGGAGTGCCTCAGGGTGGCCTCATTTGGAATTTGCATCTGAGTCAGAATTACCAACCTTGGGGATCTGTAGAATTAAAGTCTTTGTATACAGATAAGTCTCATTCCTGAAGTGTATGAGGTGTTCGCCTGAGATAAACAGGACCCGGCGTCCTGAGCCTAAAGGAAGTAGTATCAGGTGGAGGCACATGGAGATCCAGCTAAAAAACAGTTGTTCATAAAACAAGGTCAGAAACAAGGCCGTACATTAGCTGGGTTACATACAGGTTTTCCCCGCTATCCGAAAGTAGAGCAGTCCCAGATCCAAAAAATAACCTACCAAATCATACCAAATAACACATAAAACCTAAAATGACACTCACATATAGTAAAAACTGAGGTGCTGAGTCTAGTGCCTGGGGAAGGAGCTTGGCAGTGCCACTCTTGCTGCTCAGAGTACACCCTCCCTCTTTAACAGCTCGATGCAGAACAAACGCCGAATGCCATTTCTGCTTTTCGTCGTTTTCGTGAAAGCGAACCCTCTTCAGAGTTCTTTCAGTTAGTGAAAACAGGTTCTAATGTAGGTCCTTCATGAAAGTGAAGTGGCTAAAGCGAGCTTTTGGAAAGCAGGGGATGCCTGTACTTGGATCTCCATTAGTCTCTTCCATGGCAAGTATTTGGTCCATCGTCCTATGAAGGTTGTTGTATTTAAATTTAAAATTGCCTAGGGTCTGATCAATAGATTGTAATAATTCGTTCTTTTTCTGGGAGAGAAGGACACTATCAAAGTCACAGGTTCATTTGTTTAAGGTCAGTTGTCTGGGTAGGTGCAAGTGGAAATGCCGTTGACTGTAATTCTCTATAGTCTCATTGATGAGATGGGAATTGCCCAGAGATTTTATCACTGGTGTCTGATGATGGATGGCATATCCAGTAGTCAGTAAGACCGAGGGCAGTGGCTACCATCTGGGATAATGTAAGAACAACATTAGAATAAGTATGTTCTGACCTAACAGTTATCATAAAGAGAGGAAAGAGAAAAGGGGCCATTAGAGGTGGACAACAGTCAGAGTTCTAAAGTCAGTGGGGAAAAGAAAGATTGTAAGCAAGCAGATGAGAAACAAAACAGGAATTAGACAGGAGTCTTTGGAATGGGCATGAATATGGATCTCTTCCAGTTAGTTGGACAGGTAGCTATCTTCCAAATATCCTTGCATAGACGAGTGAGCCTTCCAGCATTGCATTCGTTTGTTGAAGTATCTCAATTGGTATTCCATCAATTCCTGGAGCCTTGTTTTTCACCAATGCTTTCAGTGCACCTTGGACTTCTTCCTTCAGTACCATCATTCTTGATCATATACTTTCTCCTGAAATGGTTGAACATCAACCAATCCTTTTTGGTACAGTGACTGTGTATCCCTTCCATCTTTTGATGCTTCTTCCATCATTCAACTTTGACTATTATTCAAATTTATGCACCAACTACTAATGCCAAAGATGAAGAAATTGAAGATTTTTATTTATTGCTGCAGTCTGAAATTATCAAACATGCAATCAAGATGCTTTGATAATTACTGGTGACTTGAATGTGAAAGTTGGAAACAAATAAGAAGGATCAGTAGTTGGAAAATATGGCCTTGGTGATAGAAAAGATGCTGGAGATCCCATGATAGAGTTCTCCAAGACCAACGACTTATTCATCAGAAAATACCTTTTCTCAGCAACACTGAAGACAGCTATACATGTGGACTTTGCCAGATGGAATACACAGGAATCAAAGTGACTACATCTGTGGTTGATGTGACAGTGGAGAAGTTCAATATCAGCAGTCAGGACAAGGCCAGGTGCTGCCTGAGAAACAGATCAATTGCTCATATGCAAGTTCAAGTTGAAGCTAAAGAAAATTAAAACAAATCCATGATAGCCAAACTCTGACCTTGTATGTCCCTCCTGAAGTTAGAGACCATCTCAAGAATAGATTTGATGCACTGAACGCTAATGACCAAAGACCAGAAGAGCTGTGGAATGACATCAAAGATATCATCATGCATGAAGAAGGCAAGAGGTCATTAAAAATACAAGAAAGAAAGAAAGGAACAAAATGGATGTCAGAAGAGATTCTGAAACTTGCCCTTGAGTGCAGAGTAGCTAAAGTGAATGGAAGAAATGTTGAAGTAAAAGAGCTGAACAGAAGATTTCAAAGGGTGGCTTGAAAAGACAAGGTAAAACATTATAATGAAATGTGCAAAGACCTGGAGTCAGAAAACCGAAAAGGAAGAGCATGCTTGGCATTTCTCAAGCTGAAAGAATTGAAGAAAATATTCAAGACCCACAGCAAAGTTTTTCCAAGTGGACACTGGTCTGGTGAGAAGCAGAGACTCAGCAGTATGTGTGGCTGGCTCCAACAACAGGCTTAGAGGGCCTATGCCTGTGATTCTTCTTATAACAAACCACGCTTTTAGAGAGAACAGCACGAAATGGAGACACAAACGAGAGCAGAAAGGGGTAGGAAGGAATGGCCCGATTCCACCAAGGATGCCAGACAAATGGGACCAGTGACAAAACCAAGGCACCAAACTGAGAACAAACAGTTGAGGACTTAACGCAAAGAGAGCGGACTTCAGACCTGGTGCCGACGTACTCTACTGGTGCAGACAAGACAAGCTGCGAGCAGCAGGCCCAAGTGGTCCCTGCGGTTACCACCCCTGGATGAAGGCTGGCGTCCACGGCGACGGGCACTGCAGTGTCTCCGTGGGACCTCCAGGAACACTGTGGAAATGAACACAGACCACCCAGAGAGAACAAGGGGGCTGTTTATCCAGCACTGCTGAAGCAGGGGTCAGCCTATCACTGTTTGGCGAAGACTCGAAGGCAGCGGGGGAGCTGAGCAGATGGGGCTGTTGGCGTGAGAAGGCTGGAAGTGGACAGCTAGAAGCAGGCGTCCTGTGATTGGTTGAGGAGCATATTTGCCTGCTGTGGTTGGTCCTGAGTTGGAAGCGGGGGAGGAGATAAACATTAGGGGCCAAGTCTGGGCCAGGCTGGGTCCGTCACTGTGGAGGCTGGGGTTGGTTTCCAACAGGTTGCTTCAGGTGTTGTGGGTCAGCATCCTCTCATCCTGTGAGGCCAGGCACATCCGTCTGCACACTCACTCTTCTCTCTCTCTCTGAAGGCCCCCGGGAGCATTTTGTGTTCTGCTCGGTGAGGGTGGAGTCTGTTTAATGTGGAGTTCTGTCACCATCCTTGGGCTGCTTCCTCCTAGTCCATGTTCCCTGGTGCTGCAAGTAACAAAGCCCACCCAGAGCCTTCCGCAGGGTCTCCTGTGGTATAGAGGTGAGGCCAGCATTCCGGCAACTTCCCTGTCTGTACCCCTGTTCCCAGAAGCCCCTCTGTGGGGCTCCCTCCTCTCCCTGGAAACAGTGGATTAAATGGTGCTCTGAGCAAATGTTCCGGGAACTCATGTTTCCATCCAGCATGTGTGCAGAGAACCTTTTCACATGTGTGCACTGTGAGTGCGGTTCAGTGCTGGACACGCCATGCTGATGACCTCAGGGACACCACACCCACGAGTCCCCAGACTCTGTCCGTTGAGCCTCAGAGCCATGTTCACGCAGACCGCCCGCCCACCCAGATGCTGTGTCCCAACCCACTGCTTGCCCCTCACCGCCCCTCGGCCACCCTTCTGGGTCAGAGACACACCCCAAGAGCCACTTTCTACCTCATACCCTAAACAACCCAGAGATGACACGGCCTGTCATCCTGGCTTCCTACACTTCTCCCCACCTTACTGCCATATCACTGCCCCAGCTGGGCCCGGTGTGTGGTCGGTAGCCTCCTCTTTCCTTAAGTCACCCTTCATGCTCACATGTGTTACCCTTGTCTATGGAACCCCTCCAGGGGCTCACCAGGTCATAAGGGTGTGTCTGACCCAGAGCCCAGGTGAGTCTCCCTCCAGGCCCACCCATCTGCTCTGACGCAAGTGCTGGTGAGCCTGGCTCCTTGTGCAGGGCCCCCAGGGCTACACCCTTCCCCTCCATGCCCATCTTGTCCATCCGGCCAGCACCGCCTTGTCCCATGTGAGGCTGGCCTGCCCTACACTCTTCTCTGCGCACGCTACCTGTCTCGGGAGGAGCCTCTGTCCACGGACATGGGTGTGCTTGCACTGTCCCCACTGACTGCGAGTATCTCGAGGGCGGGGCCCTGCAGGGATCTGAAACCGGTGCTCAGCGCCACCTGGGCTCAGGGAGGCGCTGCAGGTACTCTGACGCCATGAGTACCTGGGCTCAGGGAGGTAACGCAGGTACTCTGACGCCGTGAGTACTCGGGCTCAGGGAGGCGCTGCGGGTACTCTGACGCCGTGAGTACTTGGACTCGGGGAGGTAACGCAGGTACTCTGACGCCGTGAGTACTCGGGCTGGGGGAGGTAACGCAGGTACTCTGACGCCGTGAGTACTCGGGCTCAGGGAGGCGCTGCGGCACTGTGAGGAAACAGGAGCGAATGTGTCCTCACGCACTCACACGTGCACTCGGCGTTTGCATGAGGTGTGATGTGCTAGTCCGCAGGAGCATCTGTCTCCTCCCCAGGACATCATCAACTCCATGAGCAATAGCCCTGCCACCAGCAAGCCCCCGGTTACCCTGAGGCTGGTGGTCCCCGCCAGCCAGTGCGGCTCACTCATCGGCAAAGGCGGTTCCAAGATCAAGGAGATCAGGGAGGTAAGGAGCCCTGTCCTGGCCCCGGGGGCAGGGTCTGTCCTTAGGGGGTGCGGCGGCCCTCATCACAGAGCATCATCTGCACCATCCCCACACATCAGTGCCTGGGTCCTGCTGCTGCTGCTGCAGAAAGCTTACAGCATGGGGACTCCGTATGCAGACAGAGGTTGAGACGTGGGGAAACCTGCAAAGTGCACAGACCCACATGTTAGCAGAGGGCTGTGGGCCCTGTGGGAGAGGCGCCTCCACCGGAGTGGGGGGCGGCACCTCCCAAAACAGGTAGGGGGGCTGGTTGCGACAGGGCACAGGGGGTTAGGTCGTGCACCCTCAGGCTTTGGGGCTCCCCTCTGGGGCCGTCAGGCCTCACTCTTGGGGGGATACTCAGCTGCTCTCCAGGTCCCAGCCAGCTGAAGCCATGTGAGGTGTGGATGTTGCAGTCACACATCCAGCTTTTCTCAAGAGAAGCCTTGGTCATCCCCTTTCCTCCGGGAAAGGCAGCCTAGCATTTTAGGGCAGAAGGGAGGAGGGGGTGTGGGCAGGGAAGGGGTTCGAGTGACCCCACAGCCCTGGCCCAGCCCCCAGGGGAGAGTCCCTTGCCGAGGCGCGCTCCCTCTGTCTGTCTGTCTGTCTCCCTCTCTGTCTCCTCCTCCATGCCTGCCTCTTTCCAGTCCACAGGTGCTCAGGTGCAGGTGGCAGGGGACATGCTGCCCAATTCCACCGAGCGGGCGGTGACCATCTCAGGGACGCCAGACGCCATCATCCAGTGCGTCAAGCAGATCTGTGTGGTGATGCTGGAGGTACACTGTCGCCGCGGGGCACAGCCAGCTCAGGGGGGGCTTCCCTCGCCCTTGGCAGAGGCCCGCCCGTCATCCTGGGAGCCTGCGGCTCAGCCTCGCTGTGACTGGCCCCCATTGGGTTCCGGGCCTCCAGCACACCCAAGCCGGGGCTGTCCTGGGCACGGGTGCCTGCCCGTGTCCTGTGGGCAACGTCTGGCTGTGTGGGGTGACCACGGTCGCCCATGGGGTGTCTGAGGGGATGTGCAGGGAAGAGCGAGCCCCCGCCCCGACTCTGGAAACTGGATGAAAAGCTGTTGTGCCCTCCCTGAGGGATTTGAGGAAAGGGTCAGCAGCCTTCAGTGTGGGGAAGTCTGTGGGGAGTTCACGGAGCGGGAAGTAGATGGGGTCAGGAAGATGCCCCCGCCTCCCTCCAGCAGAGGGCATGGCTGCAGGCGAGGAGAGCTTTGGCTTGCGTTCCGGGTGGCTAGGAAGTTGCTTGTTAGATGAGGAATGCAAAGGCTCTCTCTGTAGTCACAGGGGTCTGCAGATGGTGGGGTCTGAACAGCCACTGAGGGTACAAAGGGCAAAACAAAAAGCATATGAAAGGTCCACATTAGAAAAACAGAAATAAGTTAATAAAAGGATTAAAACAAAGAGAGAAGTAAAGAAGATACAACAGGCAAAAACAAAAAAGCTCTTCTTGAAATCCGGGGGGGAAACCCTGAAATGTAAATTTTACGGATACCCAGAATGAAGCAAACACATGAGGCTTTAAGTGGGGTCTCTGGTCTTTCCTTAAGTTAAAACTGAACAATCCTGCCTCAGACTAAAGGCTCCAGCAGCTCGGCTGGGCTAGGCCCCCACGTCCTCACCTGCGCTGCCCTGGAAAAGCGGGACTCCCTCACCAACGATTCCTTCCCGTCCTGCAGGGAGGGAGGGCATCCAGGTTTTCCAGAACGATGTCCTGGTGCTTCTTTCGCTTCAAAGGTGGTCACAGTTCTGGCCCTGGTCTGAGGGCGCTCATACAGCTCCAGACACCTTGCAGCCCTGGTGCCTGCGGCGCTCCTGCCAGGAGGGTCACCTTGGCTTCCGTGGAGGTGACTGCAGACAGCATCCTTGCACCTGTTCTTGGTGTTTCCACGGCAACTAGGGTCTCGTCAAGCAGATCTGGGGATGCTTAGTTTGGTGCCACTGCCTCATGGTTAACTTAAAAAAAAAGTATAGTTTTTATTTTCCTGAACTATATCAAAAATATTTTTCTAAATATTCTTGTTTGAAATTTTCTGACAAACTGGTTGTGGGTGATAGTGTGATGCAGCTGTGTCCCACTGCCTGTGACTCTGCACAGCCTCCCATGCCAGCCAGGCCTAGAGGACAGTCTCAGGATGCAGCTTCCTGAGCCTGTGAGCACGGCCCCTGGGCAGGCCACACTCACAGTTACGAAGCAGGGAGGTACACCGGAGTGGCGGTTCAATCACATGGGCGACATTCCACAGGCAGATGGTGTCTACCACTTCCCTATTCAGAGGGAGGCCCCACTCCTCAAAACAAGGTGTGGGGTTTTGTCAGTGGTCTCCACGCAATGCAGTGGTCCAACTCAGCCCCACAGAAGCCAACATGACCTGTGCGGTGGGGAGCCTGTGCCCCCATTCCACTGGCTGTGGTTGGAACTGCCTGTGTTCTCCTGATCCCCATGGGGTTTAAGTGAGATGGGGAACACAGAAATGTACATGGACTCAGATGCCAGCACATAGCCCAGGACAAGGGCTGAATACCAGAGCTGAGACTAGGATCTTCTTGTCCGTGTACAAAGCTCTCCGAGGCCAAGGGGCAGTTGTCTCACCATGGAAAACGACCCTCCCAGAAACAGTAGACCCATTGTCAATAGAAAGTAACTGGGTAATGAAGCAAGAGATGCTTTTAAGATCTCCTTTTGGATTAAAGGATTTTAGGGCTTGGTTGTGGGGTATGCTTCAGATACTCTTGAAGTTATGAAAGGGCTGTTCCTGATAAGGGTGGGCCTGGGGTGAGGATGTGGGAGACTTTGGTTTCTTCCACCTAGGGTTTGGTCAATGAAATCAGAACGTGCCCCAGTCTGCACACAGACAGTTTTGATGGTGTTTGGTCATAACTGCAGAAATGCTTCCCTTGGAGCCAGGCATAACCACAAATGCCAGCTTGGGTCAGCCCATGGCATCCTCCCGGCAGCCCTTTCCCCACTTTACAGCAAGGTCATCCAGCCTGCTCAAGATCATCTAGCCTGTCCAAGGTCACCCAGCCTGCCCATGGTCACCCAGCCTGCCCAAGGTCACCCATCATGCCCAAGGTTGACAGTGTCCCCTGGGTGGTGATAGCATCTGGAACTCCAGCAGGGGAAGACTTCAGCCAGCACACTCACCACTGCACTATCTCCTCCACTTTCAGCCTGTTTGCACTCACAGTCTCCACACGAAGGCCTCTAACTGCTACCTAGCTGCCACCAGACTCAGGGCCCTCCGACTCACTCTTCAGGACCAAGCCCATGGCCTCTGCACATGTAGAAGACCACCTGAACTGAGGGGGGTCAGTGGGGACAATGAGGGCCATTTACTTCTGACCCGGGTGAAGGACTACCACCTGTTTGTCAGTTTGTCATACTGTAGTGCTTTCATGTTGCTGTGGTGCTGGAAGCTGTGCCACCAGGATTTCCGAGAGCATGATCATCCAGGGTGCATGGGTTCTGGCAGAGCTTCCAGACTAAGACGGACTAGAAAGAAAGGCTTGATGGTCTACCATATTTTCATCTTCGCACAAATAACATGTGCCTTCTACATTTGTTTGCCAACCACACCCACCCGCCTTGAGGTAGTTTCATAAGCGACACGAAAATACCTCTGGTGGAGACGGTGCGGTTGGCAAACAAACATAGAAGGCACACGTTATTTGCATAAAATACACTACTTCTGAAGATCCGCCATGAAAGCCATATGGGTCACAACAGAACACTGTTCGGTACAGTACTGGAAGATGAGTCCCCGAGTTTGAAAGGCACTCACAATACACAGTGGCCGCAGCAATGGACTCGAGCAGACCAGCCATGGTGAGGACCATGCAGGACCCGGCAGCGTTTCGTTCCATTGTCCACGGGGTCTCCATGAGTCAGAGCCAACCCAGTGACAACTGACAAGGAGAAGGCAGAGGCATGTAGAGTCATCAGAACCTGGATCTGATTTTCCAGAAGGTTAGCATTTAAGATGACTCACCCTACGATAAGAATCCTGTACATTTTGGATACAGAGTAATTAAGCCTCATTGTGGCTGTAGAGTAAGTATTTCTTTTAGAGTCTGGAAGCTGTTAAAAAACGGCTCCTTTTTGTTCCATCATGAAGTTCGACGTTGCTCGTTTCCCTGGGTTGTCTGCTGAGCCGTCTCCCCAGGCCACGCCAAGCGCTCTGGAGCACTGGCATAAAGTGCCCATGGTGGACTGTACACAGAGTTCAGCTTTTTACAGAAGCTTGAAGAGAGACTTTTTCTGTCCCCGTGTGTCTGCGGTGGCGAACAAGCAGCACAGAACCATGTCTGAATGGATAGTGGCACTTCTGAGATCCCTCATTCCGCCAGGAGGAAGGCGCCCTTGCCCGGCGGTGCTGGCAGGGCAGCCCCTCCTATTTTCACCACCATGGGGACCAGCACACAGGGTTGCTCTGCAGGCCCGGGGCCTCACAGGCCCAGGGGTGCTAGGCAGGTGGTCACGTGGGCAGGCGGTCGGGGGTGGAAGAGCTCTAGGCACCGGAGGGTGCCCCTCCCCCAGTGTGCCAGCCAGGGCTGTGTCCTCCCTGGAGCACCCCGTCCAGACTGTGTTCCCACCAGCACTGCCGTGGCACAGCAGGGCCCTCTCAGGGTCTGACGCTGCAGGGGGCGGCTGGGTGGGAGGGGAGACCCAGGCACAGCTGGGGTGGGTGTGGGAAGGGGCCTCCCAGCTGTGCTGCCAAGTGGCTCTAATGCTCTCTTTCCCTCTCCTGTCCCTTCTCCTAGTCCCCACCGAAAGGTGCCACCATCCCCTACCGCCCAAAGCCCGCCTCCACCCCTGTCATTTTTGCAGGTGGTCAGGTAAGAGCCGACCCGCTCGCGGCCTCCACGGCCAACCTCAGCCTTTTACTGCAGCACCAGCCGCTGCCCGTTAGTGCACTCAGGTTTTCTCGCCTATGCACGTGCATGCCTTGTCATGGTGGGGCACAGAGCTCTTCACAAGTGGGGCGGGGGCTTGGGCCAGAGGTCAGATGTGGACTGGGAGGGCTGGGAACCTCAGAGAAGTTTCTGTCTGTGGCCAGGGAGTGGATTAGAAGGCAGCAGAGGGAGCTGGGCCCTCTCTTCTCCCAGCGCCAAGCTACTGTCTTGGGCTCTTGTGACCCAGAGACTCCTGCCTGGGGGGCTGCAGCCGGCCCGAGGCCACACTGGCTGTGGGGAGCGGCCGGCAGGCCTTGTGCCTTCACCACAAGCCCCGGACGCAGTAGAGGGACTTTGAAAACATCCAAGTGTGCAGTTGGCCTCGAAGAGCTCTGGGTCCACCTCAGCGACCGTGTCTTTGTTCAAGGGAGAGTTAGGACAAAGATATCCCCAGAGTGACCCGGAGAGTGGAGAAGAGTGGGGCGTAGTTTATCACTCTAAAAGAAAGAAACAAACGAAATTTCTTCCATGTTTTCCTCTAATATGTAAAGGAATCTTATCAGATGCTTTATATTATTTACACATTGGATGAAAGGGCAGGAAGTCTATCAACTTCATTCACCACATGGGAGGTGCTGTCCCCACAGTGAGAGAGGCACAGACCCTACACCGTGTGTGTGTTCCAGAGGGCCTTACTCTGGGCCCATCCGCTGCCTCCCCTGCCCCATGGGGCGTTCTTATGGGTGCAGCGTGTTCAATGTGGGTCCCTCTCAACCCCGACCCCTCACACTCTAAGTCTCTGAACTGCTGTGCCGCTTGATGTAAAGAGCTTCACCAACCACATTGCCCTTATGTCACCCTCACAGTGACCCTTAAGATTGTCCCTGTTTTACAGGGGAGGAGCGAGGTCCAGTGAAGGGGGAGCCTCCTAGGCCTCTCAGCTACCGAGGGCCCATGGGGCTGCTCCTCGTGCTCCTCAGCCCACCACGGGGCACAGGGCACAGCCACCGTGGGGACGGTCAGCCAAGGACTTGGAGAAGTCCCTGTCCAAACTCCCTTCCCGGGACTTCCCCCAGATTTGTGGTTAGCTACCTGTGTAGACTCAATCTTAGCATCGGCCAGACCCATGATGGTAGCACATGGTGAAATTTTGGAATTTGTTGACAAGGAACGTGCATCTGTACAGATGAGATGTGGGCAGTCTGTTGAGCCACACACGGCAGAGTCACAGCTTCATGTACAAGGATGGAGTCACTGTGGGTGCCCCCACCCTGGCCTCTTCCTTTCCCCTGTGAAACGGGCAGCAGTGCCAACTGCTGCTAGTGGGTTGAGGTCACTGGCAGACAGCTAGGCACCATCATGACAGGGCTCTTGTTCCTCAGGGTTGTCCCCAAAATAGCACACCTGGGGACACCGTCTCACGGGCGCAGTGTGTATTCAGAGGTGTGCATGCAGGAGGGAGGACAGGGTCACACAAGGGCACCCCTGTACAGGGGGTCACTGAGAAGGAAATGAGGTATGAATAGGACCCAGCGCAGAGAGGTCCCCTGAGGACCCTGCTCGAGCACCAGCCCTGGACTGCTCGGTGCAGGATTCGCGACAGTCTAGAGCTTGGAGAGGTGCAGCGGCTGGAGCTTCCGGCATGAGCCCAGGGTGGACTGTCCCAGACATCTCTTCTTGGGACATGAGACACGAGAGGGATGGTTCAGGGCAGGTCCTGTCCCAGCGGCCCCGTGCGGATGTCAGAGGTCTCGTTTAGACAACACCTTCCAGGGATCACAGCTGTACTAGACTAAAACGAAATGACCAAACAGGTGGGTCAGGATGTTAAAATGGGTCAGGATGGAGAATAATCCCATCAGGACACACAGGCTGAGCCCCCGGACACGCAGGCTGAGCCCCCGGACACGCAGGCTGAGCCCCCCGGACACGCAGGCTGAGCCCCCGGACACACAGGCTGAGCCCCCCGGACACGCAGGCTGAGCCCCCCGGGGCAAGGCAGGCCGAGCATTGCCTGGCTCTCTGAGGGGTCAAGATGGGTCCAGGACTGGCTCCATGCTGTGCCCAGTGGAGCCAGTCCGAGTGCACCTTCGCACACTTTGCCAGCAGGTCCAAAGACACTGTTTCTGGTGACCCCTGGAGAGGTTGCAGGCAGCGAGGTCCTGTTCCTAGTCGCTAGGACACCTTACAGCATCTGATAAGATTCCTTTACTCCCTGCAGGTGGGAGCCCCCTCTGCAGGACTAAATGCCCCTCGCGTTTGGGCTGTGGCCCCCCTCCCACTCACCAGGTGGTTGATTGGCCTTAACTCCGAGGAGAATGCTTGGCACGTTCGGAACCTGGGGTCTGGCCCTCCTGGAGCGCCACCGCTCCATCTGGAAGGAGTTTCCTGCGCAGGCGGACACGGGCGTGGGGCCGGCCAGCGTGTCTGCAGGAGGGTGGCAGAGGGTGGCAGGGGCCCACGTGGGGGCTCCACATGGGGGAACACCACCCCGCGCACCCTTCTGGGCCCCAGTCCCCTGGGCTGCCAGGCAGTGCCTCGATGTTGCCTGGGAGGCATGTGCCAACTTCCCGCAGATTCAGGTGGTGGGTCTTTGGTCCACGCTCTCCCTTCACTCAGTGTGGTCTTTTTTGGGTTTTTTGGTTTGTTTTTTTACTTTCTGAATCATCTGACATGATAACCTGGGATATGCCTGGGGTGGGGCCCGGCTGGATGGCGCCTATATCAGCCACGTGGGTCTTGAAAGCAGGGTGGGTCAGAGGAGGCTGCAAGGTTGGCCGACTGTGGATTGTCCAAGTCACTGTTGTTGAAGGGAGGGAGATCAGGAAGCCAGAACGTGGCCTCAGAGCCCACCTGGTCCCCTCAGCGCATATGTTCAAGTCTGCAGGCCTCCGCTGAGACCCGGTACTGAAGATGAGCTGGCCGCCATGTGACTGGTTCGGAGCCTTTCCTAGTTCACTGACTTTTGCAAAATTGTTTTTGGTTACCTCTTAAAGCTTTATTATTTTATTTGATTTTTTTCCGGTAAACATTTTCTAGAAGTGTTTGCTCTAACGCTTGATTAAATTTTCCTAGGGCTAATAATTAGCTGATCATATTACCAGGAGATCAAATGTATTGTTCTTAGATTTTTTTTAAGAAAAGTGGGGCGAGTGAGAGTCAGCAACATTCAAGCTCAGTTATTTCCCTTCCACCCAGATGACTCGGCCAACCTCAGTTTCCTGCTGCACTAAGAAGTGGGGTGCAGCCCCTCAGGGCTCACCTGTCTGGCTGTGACTGTAGATGACTAAGGACACACAGCCCCTCCCCCCAACTCCCTGCCCCTCCAGTGCCGGGAGGGTCTGCCGTCAGTCCTCCAGATTGGGGACATGGGACAGAGATGCACCTCAAGAAAGAAAGCTCCGACGCAGAGGCCCTGCGTGCAGAGGGGTTGTCGTGGGGGTACCATCGGGGACGCTCCGCTCCCCTGGGCAAGCTAACGGCATCTCTCTTTTCTAGGCCTACACCATCCAGGGACAGTACGCCATCCCACACCCAGATGTGAGTGTCCCCTCCGCCCCCCTCGCACCTCTTTTCTTGTTTTCATTTCCCCCTGCATGCCACTGTTAGTGATTACCAATATTAATATTACACAATAATATTAATACGTTCCTAAGTGTTCCTGACCTCTGTCCTACCCACATGACCTCCAGTAACCTTTAACCTGTTAGCACTAACTGTACTCATGGTGAGGACTTGGCCTGATGTAAATTGTCTCGGTTGTCTGCCACCGTCCAGGGTTTCCTGCACGCCCCTGGTGCTCAGGGACCACACACCTCCCCACGCCCTGCCCACCCGGCTGCACGCCAGAGCCGCAGACGGGGTGGCCTGAGCCTGTTGCCTTGGTGGACCAGCCTCTTGTGGTGCTCTAGGCACACCCAACGAGTGAGGTGTCTGTCGTCACACAAGCCCTCTAACATGTGTTAGAAAGGGGATTTGAACCCTCGTGCTGCCAAACTCCTCTCCCCTCTCATAGCTCAAGTTGAAAGTCAGGGCCCGTGCTGGTGGGAGACCCAGCTATTGAAGTCCACGGAGCGGGCCTTCTCCTTCACTCCACAGTCAGTCAATGCTGCCCGGGCGGGTAGGTCCTTGCACTGCTGCCCAAGGGTCATTAGGGCTGAGTTGTCTTCTGTGGATAAGAATGTCTCCTGACTGAATGACAATCAGGATATAGTGTTCGTGCTGGACAATGGGGCGTCCTAAAATAAACTGTAGAGAGAGAAGTCACAGGACGCCTCTGCCTGCACTCAGCAAGGACAGAGATGCGCACTTTCGTGCAGTGCCCCGGGGTCAAGGAGGCAGCCTGGGGTCAAGAGGGCAGCCCTGGGGTCAAGGGGGCAGCCCCGGGGTCAAGGGGGCAGCCTTGGGGTCAAAGGGGCAGCCTGAGGTCAAGGGGGCAGCCTGAGGATCAAGGGGGAAGCTCGGGGTAATGAGAACAGCCCAGGGTCATGGGGGCAGCCAAGGGACGAAGAGGCAGCCTGGAGTCATGGGGGCATCCTGGGGTCATGGAGGCATCCTGGGGTCATGGAGGCATCCTGGAGTCATGGGGGCATCCTGAGGTCATGGGGGCATCCTGGCATCATGGGGGCAGCCCAGGGTCATGGAGGCAGCCGAGGGTTAATGATGCAGCCCAGGGTCAAGGAGGCAGCCTGGGGACAAGGGAGCAGCGTGCCACAGCCATGGAGACTTGATCCTTCCGGGGCCAAGAAGTAACGGCAGCAACCAGTGAGCAAAGGAATTTCCTTGAGAATCTTAAATACGCTGGTGGATGGGGTCTGTATAGTCGGTGCCAGAAACACGAGAGTGAGAGAAAGGGAGGAGAGGAAACCAGGAGAAGGAAGAGAAAAGAGGAGAAGGCTCTGCTGCTGCCACCAAAGGGAGAGGCGGTGAAGGGGGAGCCCGCTTCTGTGCCACCCTCGGCGCGGGGAGCTGACCGCAAGTTCAGTTTGGAAAGCCTTCTTCTTCACTAAGCTATTCTGAGCGTTGACCCAGGATAGCAACTACTCCTCATAAAACAATGTACGTGTCCACGCAAGTGCCCAGGGTCAGGTGAAGAGACGTTCATCTTGTTAAGAGCTGAAGGCAGGCCAGGAGAGGCTTTTAAAGAAACTGTCACTCAACAAATACTGGAAATAGGGAGACTCGATTCGGTACTGTTGCAGGAAAACTTCCGTTGAGTGGAAAACAAGTACCGATGGTTTTTCCTTTTTACAAAACTGTCACAAACAACACGCCTGCCAGTCAACTCCTAGGGCGGCCCTGACAGATTCGATGCCTCTCCGTCCTCACCCCAGGGGCGCTCTCCGAGGCCCTGTCCAATGGCCCCTGTGCTTCGACCTTGTGATTCCTGCCGCACTATAACAAGGCATCTCCTTCCCCAGGCCCTCGGTGTAGACGGTCTGGCAGACCCCACTCAGGAGCTGGGGACATGGCCCACCTCACACCCACCATCTTCCTCTGACAGAAATCTGTTACTAGGGCTTTAGCTGGCCCAAGGTCATTGGCAATGCTAGATGAGCACGGCCCCTGCAGGCAGCGAGGAGGGGGCACAGCTGTCCACATTTAGGAGGCTAGTTGTTTAAGGTCTGGTTCTGTCCATGGCTCATTCCAGTCCCTGCCCCACCCACCCAATCCCTGAGGGTCTCCTCCTGGGGGTCTCCTCAGAGCCTACAGTCTCCCCAGCTCCCAGTGCTGCACCACGGCCTGCCTCTGTCCCCCCTCAGGTCTCCTCTGCTTTCCTTCCTCAAGTCACGTGTGGAAATCTGCTCTGTTAGTGACACCCGCCCCCCCATTCTCTGTGTTATTGGGAGGGGTTGCGGAGAGTGAGTGTGTGAGCCCATTCAGGTTCAGCATTTCCCTTGACAGTAAGAGTTGTGGAAATCTGTAAGACTCCTGCAACAGCTGGCAGAGACCAGGCCCCGTAGCTCAGGGTAACAGAGGGAACACACTGGAAGCCTTGTGATTCCAGATAGGTGATGTGTCTTCACTGGTACCCTTTTCCTTGCTGTCCCATCTGACTGTCCAGCTGTAGCAGTTGATTGGAAGGGGGGTGTGAGCACCTGGGAGAAGGAGCAGCAGATCCCAAATGCAGAAATGCCCGAGCAGAGCGTGCGTGTGTGTGTGAGCACACGTGAGTGAGCACGGGCATGTGTGAATGTGTGTGTATGAGGGGGTATATGCATGTGTGCACACACGTGAGTGTGTGACCATGTGCAAGTGTGTGCATGAGTGTGTATGTGTACATGGAAGTACAGGGGAAGCACTGCATGGGTAGGTTTGATGACCCAAACAGAAGGCCCTGAGTAATGGACAGTCAGCATGAAAGCAAAGTTGAGTTGAGAGGACCGCGTAGTCTTCATTTAGTGCTGGTCGCGGGGGATCTTACACATTCAGAAATGCACGTGTGTGTCTAAAGGTCGATTTGAAGGCCTGTTTATCTGGGTTTTTAAAACTCTAGAACTCAAAGGAAATGCAGTGGTCTGGTGCCTCTGAAGAAGGACATTTTACCTGGTTGCGTTAAAGTGCATTTTCCTTTGCCCCAAAGAATAGTTCTAAGGTCTGCAGAGCCCTGCTGTGGCCGTCTGATAGGTAAATGCTCCACAGGTTTTCAGTGTCAGAGAACCCAGAGTTCTCACTCCTCTTGAGGATGGACATTTGAGGTGACAAAAAACGTCTCGTCTGAAGTTTCCGAAGGGGTGTGTGTGTGAGCGAGAGATTCTGATTGAGAGATTTTGACTGGTTTGGTGGATATTTTTTTCAACTGGTTGTTTTGATCCTTCCCATTATGTCGTATAAATGGGTAGTTTCACAGATATTTGTTTCAAATTAGTTTAAACTAATTTATAATTCACTTTTATCTAGTTACCTCATTGCCTGTGGAAGAGATTTGAAATACTTGGTTATTAATTATACATAGAATGGCCTTGTGTGCAAGGAATTCTGTTTTCTGTGTCAATATCAAGTGATTGGGTGAGCAGCTGTTACTGATCAAACAGTGAAAACTTTCACAGATGCCTTTTCTTGCAGGCTTACAAAACTGAAGACTTGGATAATCACTTAAATAATTACTGTTGCATTTTTACAGACAAATAAAACGATTGCTTAGTAACATAGGTGATGATGGCTGGGAAGGCAGTTTTTATCCAAGTTTAGTATTTAATAGGACTTATGAAAGTCTCAGTTTTTTAGAACACAAATATAATAGTTATAGGAAATATTAGTTAATATGAATTTTATTGTCTAATATAATTGAGTGTACGATTTAAATATCGCAACCAAAATGGCTGGCACATGTACACTGTCATCCTCTTTTACCAGCTTTGTCTTTTACCGGGCTGTGTGGCACATAGATCAGACACACAGACCATAAGAGAATGTATTCCCTAGATCTAAGCATTTCTTTGTCTAGAATGAAACTATATATATTTTCTGTGCCCTGCTTTAAGGAACGCTTCCTAGTGTGCACTTATTTAAGAAGTATCAGTGGCACCCCTACCTTTGCCCACTTCCACCAGGCTCTCAGCAGACCACTCACATTTTTCTCCTAACACCTGCGGAAGCGTACAGTGCTTCCAACGCTCAGGCCTTCTGAAGAGGCACATGCATTGCTGCGTGGTGGGGAGAACTTTGGGTGCTAAAATCAACAGTGCTGGGGTCACCAGTTGGTCACTGGCCTGACTGACCCAGCTCTCCAGGACAGCTCCAGCCGGTCCCCAGCCTGACTGACCCAGTGGTTGAGGATGGCACATCTTCAGCCTTGGAAATGATCCACGCGTCCTTAGCATGTTCTGCCAGACGCTGGGGCAAGTGCGGCTTCAGAGAAGAGAAGGAGAAGTAGCACAGAATGTGCTGGATGTATGAGCGGGCGCAGGAAGCTTGCAAAGCCTAGATGGGCGCATCGTGGGGCTGCTCGGCCTCTCTCCCCGTGGTTGTCACTGTGACTGCAGCATGCATGTATACTGCGAAGGAATTGTGTTCTTCTGGAAGAAACTGATGAACTTCAAAAGTACTCTCTTACGTGTGAATCTTTATTTCTAGTCTTCAGTATTTCCAAATCACCGCCTTACTGAACATCCCGTCATTTAAAGGGGGTGCTCAAAATAAGCAAAATAAAGACAACATGCTACAGCTGATGGAGAACCTGCCACCCATGCTAACTTACCTGAGCCCTGCACTGAGCCGTAGAAGCAGATAGCACAGCCATATTCCAGCTGTGCACATGATGAAAGAGTGGGAGCCTAGAGGTTAACCTGCCCAAGTCTGTCAGTGAGTGACATGCTCAGCCAAGTCCTGGGGTTGCAGCAGAGAACATTAGGAATGCTGGGAGACTGACGCTCAGAAGTTCGTTCTTTAGTGAATAAGTGGAGAAATGGTAGGAGATGTTTCCCAAAGTAAAAGTTAAAGGAGTCAGAGGGAGGTTAGATCCTGCAATGAGTGACCGTCCAATGACTTGTTTGCATGTTAAAGTCTGAGAAGCACCTATAAAGAGGATTGAGTGAGAA